TGATCTTGTGAATGGAGTTTGGTCTGCCTTTGAAGATTCTTTTTCGCTCTCCTTCCATGTAGTCCACCATATGCAAGTCCATCTCTGTTGGCTTTTGCTCACTCCCCTTCTGATCCAGCAACTTAATAGATCAGCTTTGTGCTGTGGCAATGTCTAGCTTTCCCCAGCCAAGGTGATGAATAAGGACCAGACCCGAGAGGTTACCTTGCATTGGAGCAAAAGGTGTCTTTGTTTGTTTCAACAGCTTCCATACAAAGAGGGCATATGGAAGCTAAGTGATATTCCTTTTCTGTAAAGCTTCATGCGTAAGACATGCCCTCTTACTACCGACCAGGAGAAACATTTCACCTTATCAGGTGTCATGCTTCTCCAAATAGCTTTCCAGGGAACTCTTTCTCTTACTGTCAGCTCTGAAAGGGCCCTCCTGTAAATTCCGCTGGCTGAAAATTTTGCATCTGTCCTGTGACTCCATCTGATAATATCAAGGTCGTTGGTGATGCCTGTGAAAGTTCCTATTCTACCGAGTAGAGCAGCCACTCTCTCAACCTCCCAATCATTTCAAAAACCTCCTGAAAATTAGGTTCCATCTCTGAATTGTCCAGGTATCTGCTATTGTGCTATTTTGGTTGGTGCTGATGTTGAAGGAGGGTGGGGAAAGCCTCTTGCTAAGTGCCCTGACCATCCCAGTTCTTCTTCCAGAAAAAGATTTTTAAGCCATTGCCCATTGGGAAAGTAATGTCCTTCCCAAGGTTATTGCAGAGGAACCTGATGGCCCGCCATAGTTCAGCTCCATAAGTGTCGGTGGATTCTTCAGTGCACCACTGACCATTTTGTCCATATTTCTGCTGTATTACGTTCTCCCACAAGGCTGTTCTGTCCTCAGCAAATCTCCACAACCATTTTTTGAGCAGGCTGCTATTTTGTGGCATTAGAAAGTATTGGCTATTGAAAAATGAGGAAATGAATGATAGGGAAAAGGAGTTAAGGAAGGTTGCTCCTCTTAGTATTTTTGGGTTGATCTGGAGTTAGAGGAATAGAAGAATATTTGAAGGGGTTGAGAGTGCATTCTGGAGGGTAAATAGTTTATTTTTGCTTCATTTGGTGTAATAAAGATATCCCTGAACTCACATAGTATATTGACACCGTGTTCGTGATCAATGAGATTATTTTGACTTGTGATATTTTCAAAAAGATGTCTTGAAATATGGCTCGAAATGTTGTCATACTTGCTGTGATATGGTCTCTCTTGATGCCACTCTTTAATTTCTGTCTGTGCTAGCCCAGTAGGCTAAATCTTACCTTTTTTAAGTTGAGTGAATTTATCTTTTTGTAGACAAATTTAACACACTGGCTAAATGGGATATAATTGGCATAATACATATATTTGACCCTAAACTTGACTTCAAATTTTAACTTTGACCTCCAACTTTCATAATGCACAAACATGCACTTTAACTATCCAACTTTTAAATAAATAAACACATGAGTCCTACATGACACAATACATGTAGAACACCACGTAAGACAAAAAATGACATGTAGGACATGTGTGTCTATTTGTTTAACTTTTTACAGGTTTAAGCATCTACTTGTGCAAACTTAAAGTTGAAGGGCATAAATGTGATTCGAAGCCAAGCTAAAGGGCACATTTATGTATTATGTCGATATGAGGCGCTCGCCTTTCATATCACTGGTATATCTAGACCTTTTCGAATAATTTAGGGGCATATTTGACCAGTTTCCCTTAATTCTATGAGCACCTGTAGTGATCCTCATAAAATTATAGTATTCTATATTTCCTGATTTTAGTTCATGATGTGAACAGTGAGGTAAGGAAGAAAGATTTGTATTGAAAAAAAAAGGGAAGGTGAGGAAGAGAATGTCTAGTCTGATGATGAGAGGTTAAGTGACTTCTGAATTCCTTTTTAATGTACTTACTTGCATAAGCTTATACTCTTTTTTCTGAGTGCAATTCAGATATTGTCCAAAAGCCAAATTTATTCTTGACCTTGAGTCTTAGCTTTTTTACCAAAAGAGGGATACTCAGTGTTTCACTAGCCTGTATCTTTTATATTGGAAAATTTCCAGCTTTCGTCCTAATGTCTACTTTATAAACTTTTTTTTATTCAAAAAATGCAAATCAGTTAACGTGTTCTTCCAGGAAGCTTGTGACCGCAGTTTGCGTATCCTGTAAACTGATTTTAATCAAATTAGAGTCTAATTTGTCAACTTTCTTTATTTCTTCCTTGGTGCATCAGTCAGTTGAGCAACTTGCACATGGTTGGAGACTCCAGCTTACTCATTAGATAGGGCCTTCTTGGATTAGAAAGTTCAATCACACTCCCCCAGGACACCCAAAAAACTGGGCCGAACTTCTAAAGCACCCACTGCGATAGAACAATATCATGGCAATTATGATATATCTTACATATTTGACCTTGGGAATCTTCACATGTACGGCTTACCTGCTTTTGAAATATATGCCATACTACCATTTTGACTAAGTGATCTAATTATTTGTTTGTAGAATAACATTTCATGATCTGCAAGTGCATGTATATGCACATTCTGTATGTAATTGCTCGTGGGGGGGGGGGTGAGTTTGATGAAGGAGGGAAGTGGTGGTGGTTTGGATTTGGAAAGAGATAGGAGAAGGTGTATAACAGAATGAGGAGGCAGAAGAGCTTGCATTAGTTGAAGGGAGGAGGAGAAAGAATGGAGAAGATGAACATTTAGTTGTGTTCCATCTTTATAGAATCAATGAAATGCTTCGGGGAGTTGAAAATAAGCATCGATAGAAGAGGAAAATATTTTTTTTTGGTGCTATTTACCTTGTCCAAAAATTTATCATATATTAGATGGCCCTAATGCATATCTTTGGCTTCTTTATATTTTCTTCATACCAAATTTTTTCAAGAGTATTGATACTCCTATCTGACATATTCTAAATTTACACATCTATAGGGATGTCGGAATGGAGATTCATGTATGTTTTCTCACGATTCAGTTCCATCTGCTTATTCTGGTGTTCTGTCAAGTCTATGCCTGCCGGAAAATGCTGCAGCTAATATGTGGTCACTTCTGCAGTGGTTTCCTGTACCCTATCATGGGTGCATCCTCATACTGGATGACAATGATTTATATTTTTCATCGCATCTTGCACGTTTTTATGCTCCGTCTTCGATAATTTCCACAACATCCCTTCGAGATGAATCCACACTTGATCAGTTACCAACTGGAGTCAGAATTCTCTGGGGCCATTCACATCCATACAACACGATATTATCCAAAACTGCAGGGAGTTCAGTTCCATGGGATGAAGTTAAATGTGTCCTATGGTTCCCAAAATTTGAAGCAGAACATAAAGAAGGGGATAGGAGCATGGTGCAGACCTTTTTTGAGTATTTTGCCATCCGGATACTTGGAGATGCCTTATATGAAGCTACAGTAATTATCACCATGAATAACATACGTTTCTCACACCTACAGGTAATTTACTCATACTGGCTCTGGTAATCTGATCTCCAATAGATGCTGGATTTGTGCTTTCTACTTAAAAATTTAATTGACAAGAGACAAGTTTGGAAGTTATTTGCATATTTTTGGTAATTTTGAGCAACTTCCTGAGATTCCTCGAGAAGTTTCTCCCTGAATCTTTTTTAACTTTTCCTATCTTTCTGACAGTTCTGTCTGAAGTGCTATTTTTGGGTGTAATGGGGCAGGAAAGGAACCTGGAAACATAAATTCAAAATCTATATCAATTAGTTAATAGTAATTGAGCTTTTCGGAAGTTGACAATTGACATGAAAATATGCATTGTATATGGAGCTGCTTTGTCTCAATTTTTTTTTTTTTTTATGTTAAACCATTTGGTATCCGGGATCCAAGCTTGCTAATTAAGATTCATGCTGGGTAGGCCCCTTTAAGGGGGACGCACTCCCACCAGGAATATGAGTGCTATTTAAGTTGCATACATCAATGCACAATTCGAAGAGGATGCCTGAAAATCTCATTTGGAAAAAAACTAAAAATGTTTCTCTGTTCTTTTCTATTGGCTGAGGTTCTTGAGTTATTTTGAACGTTGATAAATCTTGGGAAGTTTTGTAATATAGTTTCCTTATAAGACCTTAGTCCCCTTCCGTATTTCTTTTCATGCTGCAAATAGTTCTCTCCTCCTATTCATCCTCGTCCCAATCGCATCTATGCTGATAGAAATGCTTCATTCATTCAGATTATACCCCCTCTGCCTCCTTTACTTTAGCTGAAACTGAATGTTTGACACTCTTGCTTCAGGTGGAAAAGCTGGCGAGGGAGTGCTGCTTTTTTCTCAATGAATCATTTCTATTTGATGAACAGAACCTTGGAGAATTATTCGATGAGGTTAGAGCCAGAAAGCCAATGGTGCAGTCGAGGCCTGTCTCGTATGTTTTCTCACTGCATCCTCCTGTAGTCGTCCAGCCTGGTGATTTTGCAACACTCCTTAATCAAAATGTGAATAAGGTTGTGTAGATATAAGATCAGCTCCAGAATGATTGCAGCTCGGAGAGTTAATGTTATGGAAATTCACGTAGAAGTAGGGGTTTTAACTTGTGAAATCATTTCAGTAACAACAGCGTGAGAAAAGGTTTTCTCATACTCTTAAATTATCAACTATAGAGGGGTTTTCATGTACATATTTATCTCACAAGGGGGGGATAGAGTTCCTTTTGATATCCAAAAATGCTGAAACTGCAGATACTTCTCGTCTTGATCACTTTTGTGCCCCTCCTATGTGTTTTCTTGGTTATGATGATTAATAGTGAGCTTGATTTTAGTTTTATAGTTTTTTTTTTGGTCGTTTATATAACCATACGGTCAAATGGCCAGACTGGTTTGATTTTGTGGTGCATAAGGAGGGTTCATTTTGAAGGGTAAAATGCTCTTTACTAGTATTCTTTTGGGGGCTCAATCACTACTCATAAGGCTTCTAGTTAAGGATAGAAGAATTCTATTCATTCGACTGCAATTCAATATTTGAGTTATGGATTCATAATTCAATATTTTGAACACTTTCAGTGGTTTTTATACAGATATATTCAGGTCTAAGCTAGAAAGTATGAGTTCAGTTGATTTTCACCCTTTTATCATGTGCTTAAGTTACAAGAGCATTTTTTTTTGCTAATTCTTTACTTTGACTTTGAGTCTTCCTGCTTTTAGAATAGTAATCACATACTAGGCTGCTATTATATAAATCTATAATTCTATGGGTGATTACAGTGAATTTTCTGTATTACAAACATTGGTATGCTTATGACACTGACACACTATCTGCCTGCTTCTTCCTATGATTGATATATTCTGTCAATACAAGAACAAAAATGTTAATGATATCGTGTGAGCTCCAGTAGCAGCGGTGATATGAAACAGCATGTCTGGACGACCTACCAGGACAACGATGGAAGCTTGTTGCAGTTTGCTGGTGCCCATCCAATCTGCTGTTTTTCATTGTCGTAAATCACCAGTTTGTCTAACATAGAAATATCTGCATAGGTTAATCCAGAGAAAACGAAGACATTATTTTTCAATATCTAGACGAGGTATTAAAAAAAAAAAAACGCAATGCCTTGTTCTGTCATACCTCCAATCATATTAACATCTCCTAATCCAGCCTCAAAACCATTCAATATCCCTAAGCATACATTGCCCTTATCCTGAGAGGATACAAAAATCAGTATCGTGATCTAAAAGATTCACTTGAGTAATTCAAAAGGCACTTACAGTAAGAATAAGATAAGCCTCAGGTGTTAGTTGAAGCTGAATATTCGTATCTTTTGTGAAACTAAGTGTCAATGGCTTGAAGTAGATCGTAGCATCTGTAAGAGATTTGAAAGGTTTTGATCCTTTCCAGCAGACGGGCAAACTTTTGTCGTCCTCTGCATCAATCAGTCAGTTGCTTTGTGTCTATGTTTTCCTTAATCTGAAATCAGTAAAAATATCACAAGTCAACTCATAAACATATAGGATGAAGGTTTTGGCTGATCTTACCAAAGACAAGAGAGTCTTGTAAGCTTCGGAATTGAAGTAGGTAAAGGTAGTTCCACTATCTAGGATTATTGCTATATCCTTTATTCCAGTTGCCTGCCCATTGGAAAGTACATCTGCTGGCCCCAAAGAATACTCTTTCCTGAAAATCATAGTAATCAAGTTTATTCACAATCTTCCATGCAAAGACAGAGAAGATTTCGATACACAGAAGCACCAATTACATACTCTACGATAGGTAACCAAACAATCCCAGAAGACGGAACAATGTCATTTCCAAGGATTAGAAAACCTCCTCCTTGCCCACTTAAACAATGACCTACTACATTCCGGATTAAACCTCATCTGTGATAGTATGCTTGATTTTCCATTTCCTAGACCGATGATTCCATCTGTATAAGGTGGTGGACGCCCAGATTGTGACACTTTTTGATCATATCCACAACTACGTAAGGGAAATCAATCTCATGAATAAACACTGCAAAAGAAACTAAAACTGATCGTAGCTAACAAGTTTCTTACCCAAACACCAGAGGAGGAGCAATGGAGGTACCATTAGTGTATTTTACTTGCAATGCGTCTCTGACCAGAACTCCATAGGATGAACAATGATCTGCATACTCAATCTCATAGTCACATTGATCGGTAGGAGTGGTTCCTTGAATGGATGCACATATCGGATCATTACGATTGACAAGATTGTTATTCGGTTTGTAAGGATGGTGAGGAGCCTGCAATGTCATATATAAATATTATCGATTTAAATTCATATTAATAATATTTGGTTTAACTGGAAACAGAGAAGTAGTCACCGGAAGATTTTTGGCTCCAGGTATATCACATTGGAGCCAAGTGAGATCACTCCCCGTGTCTACGTCAAGAAAATAAGGTCTAGGGGGTTGGCCTACATTGAGTACCACCTGAACGTCAAGTAGTTGAATTTAAATATTTTATTACTAGTTTTTATGTACACATATAATGTGTATGAAAAAACACAACATAGAATTGAAAATATACCCTTTAGGATAGACATTCCCATCAAGGAGAAAAACCATAGTACCAAAATAGGATTGTTCCTTCATTGGTAGAGTAAAGGCAGAACAATTATGAAAGTATCTACATAGAAGCATGATGTACCACACTGATAAAACCCAAGATGGTACCCATTTCCCTATCATGATTAAAGATAACAAATGGCTCAAAAATCAACAAATAAAAGTTTGAAGTTTGTAAAAAAATGAGAGAGGACTTGGTCAGACTAATTTAGAACGAGTGATATACATATATATATATATATATACTAAAAAGAAATGGTGGTTTGGGGATGAAAGGAGTATTTTTATTGTATAATTATAAGTGTATAGGACGAAAATATATGTACTTGCATGTGTATATATAATTTTCTCAGGCTTTATACAAACAGAAATACCATTTATACATTTCACTTCTGTTTGTATAAGTGAGAAAGGCGAGGGTGGCGAGTGAGATTTGGGAGAGTGGCGAGCGAGATCTGGAAGAGGGGAACAAAATATATGTATTTATACAATTTTCTCTGCTTTATACAATTTTATAAACTTGTGTTTGTATAAAAAGTGAGGAAGCGAGCGAGAGATTGGAGGAGAGTGGCGAGTGAGATATTTGGGAGAGAGGCGTCTGACAATTTTTTGTAAACGTTTGCTACGAAGCACAATTAAATTAAATCCTAGCTACTCCATTTATTTTAGGTTATTAGTTTGCTATTATATACAATTTTCCCTTATTAAAACTAGGGGTGTTAAATGGTAGGAATTGATTGTTTGTTTTATAAAAGGGAAACTTACGTAATATATTATAATAAAAAGATATTTATTATCTTTTTTCACTTGAATACTTTTAATACATTTATAGTACAGTTTTCATGGTGTTAACTTTTCGGTTAGTTTATTTTGTATAATTAAAATTAGACTTTCTAGATTGCTTTATAATTTTGATTTCTCTTTTGAATTGATTCGATTAGATTAATTATGTATCTTAATTATTCAGTAAATAGATTTTACTAAAAGAAATTTAATAATTGATTCAATCTGTTCATCAATTTTTTTTAAAAAACATTCACACTTGTGACTAAAAGAATGTGTAAAAATTATTATATATTCTTTCGTCCATATATATGTAACAGTAGTTGAATGTTGAGAGTCGGATGATTATTTTCTTACCACAATTTTTATTCATATGTTTTTTAAGTAACTGAAACTATTATCTATTTTGATTTATAGTATTTTATATATTTTAATTTTCAAATATATACATTTTTTTCTAACTTAAAATTTCATTTTTATATTTATGATCAAGATTGAAAAATTTTAACGCTTAAATTTAAACCGTATTATATATTATTTATATTATAGTGAATGTCTATTACATATTATTTAGGGAAAAGAGATAGTTATCACGCCATCCTGCATTTATATATCAACTACATAGGACTATTATAGGTTAAGCAAAATTTTATAATCATACAAATTTTAAAAAATATTTCTACAATTTTTTGGTAACATTATCGACGTAACAGTTTTTTTTAAAGAATATTGCAATTTATAGCTAATTTTGAAACCGACTGCAATTAAGATCGATTCTATTAAAGTAGGGATGATAAATAATCATATTTTTAAAGTGGGGAAAAATAGATGAAAACACACTGTATAATTTCTGCAAAAATAAATAAGCAAATTCCCTCTTTTTATGGATGTCCCCCCCCCCCCACACCTCTACCCCTAATTTATTAATAATAATAATAATATAAATAAATAAATAATAATTTTCACATTCAACGAAAGTAAGGGGTTTGCCTTCTGGGTCGAGCTCGTCGCACCAGGTTTACCTAGTGTGAGTTACCTCTTTAAAGTTTTGTAAAGCTTAGCTCTCTCCTAGGCCTTAATATTTTTACAATCGTAGAGTAGTCGACTGATGAATATAGTAATAAAATTTTATATTTTCAAAGTCGAAACTGAACTTCTCAAATGGTTCGAGCCAACGGAGTCTTCTTTTTACTACTGGCACCATGATAACTATGGTAATGAAGTATTGGATTTTTGGTAATGTGTGTGTCTTATGTTTTAATAGTTATTCATTTGTTTAATCTAACTCGATATGTGTGTGCGTAGAATTTTTTGATTGTATGTTATTAAGGTTATGAAATAAGTAGTTGATATATATAGCTATGCCATACAGCTAGAATGTTGAGTACCAACTTCTATAGTTACATGTCTACACTTTTGTACAAAGAAAAATCTTTTAGATAGGGGTATAGTAGTGGTTAGCCTATAAGATCATTTCTATGAGGAATGACATTCTTGTTTATGCTGTTTGTTTTACTTTGTTTAACCTTCAAATGAATGTCACTGTTTCCAAAATTGCTTTGCTTTTAGCCATTAAGATTAAGCATCTTACTTTAATGATATTCATTCTGTTTGCAGATAAATTTGTATTTTGTATTAATTTTCTTCATTTTTATTGAATTCTGCAATGAATAATTTGATTTGTTATAATTATTTTGAAGTATTTTGTGCATGAGTGAGAAAAGATAGTAAATATATAATTTATATCTTATATTCAGGATAGATAAGAGTTCTACAAATGTCAGACAAAGATAATAGACATGATCTGAATTCTGAAAAAGTTCACGCTGATAAAAAAGGTAGACGGTGTGAATTATATAAACTAACACAATCCAATAAGAAAGATGCCTATCTAGCTAGGCAAACTCCGCCATCGATAATAATGCCTCCATCGGTGCTAGCTCCAGCACCACCACATTATCTACACATGAGCAAGCTCTTAATACTGGTAAGATAACTAGATATTCTATAATCTAAAATAATCTTTATCCACTCAAATTAGTTTTAAGAATTAACTACATTATGCAGGATGTAGTTCAAGAGAAGTTAATTGCATGGAAATCATCCACCTGATAACAAATTATGCTATCTTAAAAGATGTTTTCCGATGTAAATTCTGCACTGTAAACAAATTTGAGTATGATCCACCATCATTTTATTGTGGCATTGGTGTTGTGCGGCTTATTTCGCATCAAGAACCAACAACTTTAAGAAATCTATATTTAGGAAATACTAATGAATCTGAACAGTTTCGAACTTATATAAAAACTTACAATGACATTTTTTGCAATCACATCTCTAGGAGTTAGTTATGACAAAGAACTAGCAAAAAAAAAAGGTATATCCACATTTCGAGTTCAAGAAAAAATGTATCACTTTATAGATGACTTAGTATCAGCTACTGAAAAAGGAAGAAATTTACAATTATATTTCTTTGATAGTGAAAATGAATTGAGGAATCGATTGGAATGTTCAAGCAAACTGAATGAAGGTACTATACAAAAGCCGATGAAAATATTAAATACTAATCCATATTCCATATTCCTAAAATCACTAATAAATATTCCACAATTATCTAACTTCGACATTGCTCTAAAATCCGATGCTGCTTTAGATCAAAGAGTATACAACTTACCAACTGCATCAGAAGTTACTGGAATATGGGTAGAGCAAGATGCTCAAAATTATACACTCACCCCCTCATATTCGTGTATATACAAATAGCAATATGAGTCAATTTGTAAAGTATTATTACGGTTGTTATGATCCATTACATTATTCATTATTATTTCCATACGGTCAAAAAAGATGGGATTGTGGTATTCAGAAAGTTGATCCTTTAGGTGCTTCTTCTTCCAGACAAAAATATTGTGAAAATGAACAATAGTCAAGCATAACAAATATGACTACAATTGATGGATTTCTTGATATAGAAGCTGAAGTTATACAAAAAGGAAAATGTAAAAGAAATAGTGTCTCCTCTCGTGAATATTATTGTTAGCAGCTTCAAATGCGAGATGATGAAAATATGATACTACATTCAGGAAGATTGTTTCAACAATACACTATTGACCAATGGATGAAAATTGAAACTCAATAATTAGATTTTGCTTCTTTCAATCCGGATTTATATAGAATAGATGTATTAGAAGGATGGCTAGATGTTCTATGACGAGGTGAAAGAGATGCTTCACAAGTAGGTAAAAACAAGTTTTTCCCACTTAGCTTTACAGGAGGGCCAAGCGATATGAGTAGACGGTACATGGATGCAATTGCATTGGTTCAGCATTTTGAAAGACCTGATATATTTTTAATCATCACATGTAACCCCTCTTGGCCAGAGATCAAGGAAAATCTTCTAGCAAGTGATGAAGCACAAAATAGACCCGATTTGATTTGTCGAGTATTTCGTGAAAAGTTAAAGGAACTAAAAAATAATTTGTTAAAGAAACACATATTCGGTAAAGTCGTGACATATATGTACACAGTAGAATTTCATAAACGAGGACTTCCTCATGCTCATTTTCTAATTATACTTGATGAAAGATTCAAAATACTTACGCCTGAAGCCTATGATCGATTTGTTTCTGCAGAATTACCAAATCCTACTGTAAATCCTCACTTATATTTACTCGTTACACAACACATGATTCATGCACTTTGCGATGAACTAAATCCAACAATTCCTTGTATGAAAAAAGGATATTGTAAATTTAAGTATCTAAAAGTGCTTGCTCATGAAACGATAAAAGGAAAAAGTTCATATCCTATTTATAGAAGACGCACCACAGGAAACTATGTAAAGATTAGAAAATATCTTCTTAATAATTCGTGGGTTAACCCTTATAATTCCTTTTTATTATCCAAATATAATTTCCATATAAAAATTGAGATTTGTTCAGATATTAAAGTAGTTCAATACATTTATAAGTACATATGCAAAGAAAATGATAAAATCACATTCCAGATTCATACTAACGATAGAAATATAGAAGTTGATAGATAAAAGAATATCAATCAGCTAGATGGGTTTCTGCACCTGAAGCAACATGACGTATATTTGCTTTTAATATCAATGAAATGTCTCCTAATGCATACCATCTTGAACTATATCTTGATGGATAACAACTTGTTTCATTCAAAAGTATTGATAATATTAATAAATTATAAATAATCCAATGATTCAAAAAATAATGTTAACTGAATTTTTTTGTATGAACACAGTGAATGACACAACTAAAAGTTTAAACTTATTATATCGAAAATTCCCCGAATATTTGTATGGTCAAAAATGGATAAAATATGGACAATTCGTAAGCGTGGAAATGCTATTGGACGTAACGACACTTGCCATCCTACTGAAGAAAAAAGATACCACCTT